GGGGTTACATTGTAGTTCTATGATGAAATTAATTTGCTGGGTATATTATTTTAATAATCAAAGTTTTATTCTATGGATTATTACTATATTTGTAAATGTACTTAGGTCATTTGATAGGACTAAACATACTTAGAAACCATTAAGTTTTGATGCTGTTAACATTTACAATACATCAAATAATGATGGCAGTAGAGAATAAGCCGATGTATAAATATATTATAGGCTCAATAATATCACGAATAGCATTGACGTAATCACTATTCTGTTTCAGTGGCGTATCTTGAAATGGAGGGGAAGATGAGGTGGGATAGGGTGGGGATGGTTAACTGTGGGTAGGAAAAGTTGATGACTACGGCGCTAGCTCGCCAAATAACGTGAATTTTGTTTAATACTTGAGCGTTGTTTTTGTTTTTTAAAGGTGTGACTGGGGGCCTAGTACTTTTTTCTGGGTGCACCCCTCCCACGCATTTCCTTTCCTTGCACCCCCCGCACCTTCCACGCCACGTACCCTCTAGAAACAAAACTGATATTTTTTCTGATAATTATTGTATTCAGCATTTTATAACCTTCATGTAATCATTATATAGACCGCTCCAGTAATGATACAGTATTGGCGTAAGTTCGTTGAAGAAGGAATTCTTGCGGAACAACTAGTTCGTCATTTGTGGAGAAATGAGCTTACTGCCAGTCCTGATGAGAATGACGTCATCTTTGTAGACTTCATTGAAATTATGAAGACATTTGGACTTCTCTTTGAAAAGGTATTCATATCATATGTATTATTAATATGTTTATTATATGTTTATTTCATACCGGTATTATATATTTAAATACATAATTGACACAAAGAAAAACGCAATTTCTGCAGCTATCTTTTTCAGTATTTGTTAACCATTATATCGAACTGTTTTTGTCCATGGCACAACTTTAAGCCTCCACTCGTACAGCTTGTATGACTATCTAATTTTATATTTATGTTTATGTTTTTATTTTTTATCCCAGGGATCTCAGAAAGGCAGTAGAATGTTCATCGTTCCTTCTAGGATGAGCCTTAAAACAGGCAACTTGAATGTTGGGAAAGACGACGAGCAGACAGTATCGGTTTATGTGACCCCCAAAGACTTTCTCCCTGACGCTGTGTACAACCTCTTGGTAGTTAAATTCCTAGATCTCAGTCAGGACAAAGCGTGTAGTGGAAACCCAGAATTGTTTCAGAATCAGGCTGAAATAGATTTTGACGATATGCATTACTTGAGACTCGGATTTGTGTGCATTAACAACAAACGGTCACTGAAGGTAATCATGTTTTTTCAGAAAATTAACACATTCCGTTGGTCTATTTTATGCTACTGCATTCATACTACTAACTATTCATGATGGAGGAGCCGTGAGAAATTGAGGGAACGCTAGGTAACTGCGCAGACGCGGGTCCAGCAGGGGAGCACAGAGGGAGTGTGCCCCCTCTTTTGTCATTAAATTTTAAAATTTCAACACATCAATGCTATGTATTTAAAGAAGCGCTACTCACTTAGATATTCTGAAATGTTGTGATCTTCCTCCCCCTCCCCCAACCTTTTTGAAAAATTCTGGATTTGCCCTGCTGCGATAATAAAGTGTTGACATCATTTTAACTACCAGACTAATATTTATGCTTAATAAATTTATATTGTTGGCTCAGGAACGTAAATCCGTAGGCATGCACTCCCCATTCCCACAAAAATACGTGATTGACTGTGAATGATGGTGAGGATACAGAGCAGATAGTATGAATATGACAACATCGCCCAAATCCAACCATAATCCAACCAACAATAATTTTTTAAGTAATTTATGTTATCTAATATACCTAATTATACGGCTTCTTTTTCTATGAACAGTTGGAAATAAAACGGAGAACAGAGATAGATGAAGAAGGTAAAAGAAATCCAGCATCAAAGCCAACACCTATCGCCTGCATGGAGGTAATTTTTATGATTATTAACTGCTTCAATTGCAGTAATCATATTATTAGGGCTGTGCGTGTTAACATTTATTCATCGTTTTCAAATCAACTTTTCAAATCATAAAGTATTCTTTCTTATTAAATGCCTTTGGTATTTATCGATTAATTTCCATTTAAAAGCACTAGTTTTCTGTATTTTTTATGTAAAGAAATTGTTTGCTAAAATATATGTAACCATTGTTTTATGGTTTATTACTTTTAAGTTATATTTATATTATATATACAGTAATTTCTACCAATGTGTTTTTGGTGAAGTTTTTCTTTTCTTTGAGATTTTACAATTTATTTTTTACACCAATATTGTAAGGAAGCAATATTGCCATACAGGTTTAATTTTAATTAATGAGAAATTGAATCGATGTGTATTTTATATTTTCAATACTACTACGAGTGTATGCCATAACTTTAAATGTCATTTGTTTTTACAGATCTTACATGTTCTTAAGCGTCATCTTTATGACTTCTATCCTTCTGAAGATGGCGTCAGTTCAACCTTAAGCATTCTGTGTCCAGTTTGCTCAGTAATTGGTTTGATCCAGGGAAAGCTTGGGCCGGGGGGGGCGGGGGGGGGGGGGGGGGGCCAGGGGGGAAATTGGCCCACCCACTTTTTCTACTGGATGGGCCTGGCTCCCCCCAACTTTTTTGACTGTTCCCAACATCAGTGACAAACATTTTCGCAATTTCATTTTTATTATTAATATTATTATTATTATTATTATTATTATTATTATTATTATTATTTGGTGCTTAGACATCTTGTTTATCCTTATAAATTGACCTGATATTATTATTATAAAATATAATTTTTTTTTTTCATTTTCATTAAAAGTTCCCTTTTTGAGTTGAACAACGAAATGTTGATTGACGTCTGTATACGTCTGTATATAAGTCTGTAAAGTTACCCTGAAACCCACCCTCGAGCATGAGAATAGAGAATAGACTCGCCCGCCTTCGTGCATTCTGTATTTTGGCATATGGTGGGAGGTCCTCTTTATGGGGTGACGCTCTTTATGTAAAAAATAAAATGTACAATAAGTGTAACTGATTGGCTTAGAGTAAACCTTCAAACCAGCGTAACATAACCACATTTAAAATTCATTTAACGAAAACAATAAGATACTTAATTAGGCCATATTTTAAAATAGAGTTCTATGAAGGTTAACTACAGAATTTACAGTACACTGTAGTTAATGTGTTGTAAAAACTGTATTAAATAAACAAAATCTTTCGAATAAAAAAAATATATATATACATATATTTCGCTTGACATTAGGTAGGCCTATTAGTCATTGTGAAACAAAATGATAGGCTATGTCAAGTGTTAGGACTATATTAAACAGTGGTGGATTAAATGGAGAGCCCAGCCCCAACCTCCTAATTTTTTTTCAAAATTATTTTTTTTTAAATGAAGGAAAAAAAATTATATTTAACTTTTAATCTGAGAGTGCCATTCTGACCACTTAGAGGTGTCATAAAAGTTGGAGTAGGCCTATAATAATTTCAGGGTTACTATAGAATTAGAATATAGAATGCCACTGACCATTTAGAGGTGCCATAATCATATTTTTTCCCTTAGCCCCAACTGTCGTGGTGCTGAAGTGGGTGAACATTCCATTAGTAAAAGACCCTCCCTGGGTCCCTTCTATTTTGACTTCCTGGACCCGCCACAGTTGGAGTAGGCCTCTCATTTCCGGGCTACTATAGAAGGGTAATTTTTATCCATCGGGGGAAAAGTGAAGGTTTCGTTGGAGAATACCCATATCAAGGATAACCCTCATGATTAATAATTCATTGAGATCGTGGAAGCAATCCCGACTTCGACTTTGCTCGGAAATCAATGGTGAAGTCTGAGAGTGCAATTTCTGATCTAGCGGTGCCATAATCAAAAATGTTCTTACCTCTGCCCCAAGCATGGTGGAGCTGAGGTGGTATAAATCCTCCATCTGCGAAAGTACCCAGTGGCAGATTCAAGAGGGCTTAGTTGCCCCCCGCCCCCATAAATTGTAAAATTTTTTTTTTTAAATGAGAGATATTAAGAAAATTATATTTAAATTTTATGTTTGGTAGTGCATCTGGTGGCCATCTAGAGGTGCCAATATCACAAAAAATAGTAGATCCTTTACCTGTGAAAGTAACACCCCCTCCCCCATTGCCCCCCTCATTCCGCCACTAAAAAAATAACAACAAGTATGAAGTCATATTACAGTAGCTTGATGCCTGTAAAATAACTAATCAAATTCACCAAACTTCATCAAAAAAATGTGTAGCTTCGCTCCCTTAGTGTCCTGCGGGATCTCAGCCTAGATGCTCGCTTTGCTTGCATACTGGACCTTATGAAATGCCCCCCCCCCACTTTCAAAAACGTTCTGCCGTCGTTGAATTTGGATATATTATTTTCAATGCTCAGTATATACTGTGCTTGTATTATGTTAAACAGTACATGATTCGAATTGTAAAAAAGTTAATTTAGAAACATTTGTTTAAATTTTATTTGCATGCTTTAAAACCTGAATTTGTTATTAATTAGATTTGAGCTTCAGCAAAGAAATCAGGAATTCCTACGCCCTCCAAGTATTAACCACTGACCTGGGAACAGAGAAAATGCAAAAGTATTTCATGAGGAAAGGTAAACTGAGAGGCAAACATGAGGTCGAAAAGTTTCTCTCATGGCAGAGAAAAAATGGACCTTTAAAGGATGTAGACTTTGGAGACGAAGCAACAAAGATTTTCACAGCAGATGTGGACATCGACTCGTTCGATATTACCATCCTGATGTCCTTAATTCAACACTGCTTTAGTCCTCAAGGCGATAAATTCTGGGAGCATCCACCAGATGTTCAAGACAAGTCTGAACTGGCAAATTTGAGACGCATTCAACTGTACAAAGAAAGCACTCTAGACTGCAGTCATAGCAACAGGACTACAGATGTAGAGTTTGAGAAACAGTGGAAGGAACTTGCCACGATCTTTAGAAATATCGGAGTTCCCATTGAAGACATTCAGAAATACCACAAGCTAAGCATAGCACTACCAGTTAGAGGTAAATCTTACTTCATAGAATTTGTACTTTGAAATATGGAACAAATGAATTTGATATTATTAATTTCTATATTCCATCAGGCAGCAGTTTAATATTACATACTAAACTGCTAAAGAATGAATAATTAAGATTGCAACTAAACGTATTGCCATTGAAACCAACTATAACATAGAGTAACCACTTGATTTAAACATTTGTATATACTGTATTTGCTAATTTTGATTTACCTTTTTATTTAATATAGGATTTGAGCAGGAAAACGTTGAAGAAATCAGAAATTTCCAAGTTATTCTATCAGCTGTCGTTTATGTCGGCACTGTAACTATGAGGGAATACTTCTTGGAGGTTGCTAATCAAAGCAAGACAAAACAAAACAAGGCTACTAAACTAGACAAAAAAGAAGTTGGACAATATCTGATGAATGAGAAACGAAAAGGTAGCTTCAAAAATGTAAAAATTACTCCTGAGCAGAACGCAAAGATGTTCACACCAACAGCTGACATTGACACGTTCGATATCTCAATTATGTATTTGATAATCCGTAACTGTTGTTGTAGCATTCCATACTCATTTTGGAACAACCCAGATAGACTGACTAACTTGGTACACATCCATCGCTACAGGAACACAAAGCTTGCACATTCTCCCAACAGTAAAATGACAAATAAAGAATTTGAGATCGAATGGAAGAAAGTGAGAGCAATGCTACACGCTGCTGGTGCTTCTTTAAATGACATTGACAAATATATGGGGCTAAGATTTATAAACTAAACGAATACGCCTACAGGCATGGAAAGGCGAAACAGGTATGGTTAGATATTACTGTACTATGATGTACAACACTCAACCGACGTCATGGAACTGACTCACTGACGTCATCATAA